TATCCATTACTCAGGTCACTGATTTATTCAAATTTTAAACTCTAAAAACGGTTTCTATCCGTAGGCACCCAGGCGTCCAGCTCCATTTGTCTGGATTCGGTGGTAAAAAGAACGCTTAAAAATATTTTTCATTTTTATAGTTCGCACTGCTTGTTTTATCCATTTGTGTTATAGTTTCTCTGTGAGCAGCAAATACTAACAAGAAATTACATATTTGTATATAATTTCCTGCATGACATATTTTCATGTATTACGCAAGTTTATCATTCATTTCTTTAAGTTATATTGTTTATTTTTACCGTTGTGCTAAGGTGTTAGTATATCACGGACATTCTAATGCATAATATGAGCATTGAGGAGTTATTCTCATTTTTGAAGCGCCATTCTATACATTATTGTACCAAATCTTACTTGTGTTGTAAATGTAAACAATCAAGAGAAACGAAGAATACATTTACAGCTTAATTTGAATGTCTCCTATTTATTGAACCTTGTAGACAACTCAGAATGTCACAGTAAACGAATCGGTATATTATTGCATACGAATAGACAAGCTCTTAGATTTTCGGGATAAGAGGTCAAATCGCCATTGATCGTAATTCTTGAAATGCAATCAGAGCTATTTATTTAATGATCATAGAATGGCGATATTGGAGTTTACAATAAGTAAAAGACATGAAATGAAAGAATGACAATTGAAAAGTTAATATGAATAAAAAAAAAACTATTGTGCTGTATTCACGGTTAGAAATTTATAAAAAAAAATGGCGGACTAGGAAATATTTAAGAGCGACATATTTATTGGGAAAACATGTCTGCCTATGTTCGCATTAAATGGCAACAACATTTTACTATTACCTTCTTCAATACAGCATCTATCGAAACTCAAGCTCAAATCAAGCTTCATCTGGAACTTGTATATACGATCAATCGCTAAAGACACTGAATAAATAATTAGCTCCTTCTATCGTTCAAGAAAGTACCTGCAATTAGATTATTCCCTAGAAATGTTGTAATGTAGAACAGGCTGCAGTGACGATATTTCTCTGATCACTATAATCTTAACGTCTTCAAGGCTAGGATCAACCGTTATCTATTCTACATATCTCCATCATCTTACATTGTAGAACAGACTCCCGAGAGAATGCTTTCCTGATCATTACAATCTTAACCTCTTTGAATATAGGATCACCCATTATCTATCCTACATTTCTTCATAATCTTACATTGTGAAACAGACTCCCGAGAAGATGCTTCCCTGATCATTACAATCTTAACGTCTTCAAGTCTAGGATAAATCGTTATCTATCCTACATATCTTCATAATCTTACATTGTGGAATTCATACCTATCCCACGGGTATTTTGCCCGTAAATGTGTACAGCGAACGAGATGATGTGTAAAAGTATCAATCAAGAGCGATATCCGAAAGATTGAAGTATTGATTTGTTTTCTACGTCTTATCAATCATTTCCGGGTTATTTAAAGCCAGAAATTATGTTTAGACTGTAATATTTTGGGGACTGGGTGATATAAGGATGATGTAGTCATACAAATCTTACTAAATAACCCATAGCTGGACGAGAAGAATTGGATCCATACCTTTCCCAACATTATTTTGCGCTTAAGTAAATATAACGAACCGAAATGGAATTGGAACTCGACTCTACGATTTACAATTGAAAGTCATTATCTGTTACACCAACCGCACATCCAAGCTTACATCATTCCAAGCGGTTACCTATCTAGGAAATGACCAGGCCCAACGTTCCTTGATTTCGGCGATCTTACGGGAACTAATGTTTCAACATAGTCTTGTGTTGGGTGACTAACAGTAAAATCAAATAAAGCCAGAATTGCTCATTCTGTTATGTGAACGGTATAGATGAATGTTCAAAATATATGAATAAAGTTTCATATATATGAAACTATTACAATTAATGTCTCGCTGTTACTAGATATGGAAATATTAGAGTGAATGTTGTTCTTTATGCAAATATTAGAGTGAATTTCATATATATCCTAATATTATATTGAAGGATGTGCGAGTGGTCTAATGGACAGGCATGAACCAATCTCCTTTAACTTAACTATAGTTTAAATAGTACGGCAGATAAGGCTCTTCAACTTTTGTCAGACTCTGAATACAAAATCGTATGTTAACATTGGTATAGTACATAATATACAGGTAGAGAACTGTGGAGTTTCCAAAGCCACTGGGATTCTGACTGCGTCTGTTGAATCAATCAATCAATTTGCATTACAATACAGAATTCCAATGTCTATAACAATTTAAGCAATTTTTAAAAATAATCAAAGGCGATAATTATGTTTCATTAAAGAGTAAATTGTTTTTCATCTTATAATAGATTAGTAGATTAGTACCACAAGGCTTTAGGTTACAATAGCGCAGCTTATTAAAGAATGTTTCGGAAAAATTTGAATGTATAGGAGGCACGGTGGAGTAATGTATAGCGGCTTGGATTGAGAAATCGGAGAGCCGAGTTCGAATTCCACGTGCTAATACCCTTGGGAAAGGTGTGAATCCTCTTCTTCTCCCTCCAGCTATGGATAAACAGCAGGACAGACTGGGTTCTATAGCCTTGGATGGCAAATGGTCTAGGAGAAGGAAAACTCTGAATTCAAAACCAGCGGACGGTCGTTTGGGGACTTTGTGACACTTAGTGCACCAGGTCTCAGTATTCGGCCCTTCAGAAAGTGTGGATGGTCCTGCATGAAACCTTCACCACTATAATCAAATCTCATGTGCTGCTGTCGGTTTCCTGGGAACTGGTCTGCTTGACCTTCATACGTCGAATTCGACGCAAGAGTCGAGTATATATATATTACAATAAACGTGCAATCAATTTACAAATACATGAATTATTCACACAAAACTAATGCAAAGGTTAATGATTTAAATGGCGAGACATCCATCTCGCAAACAATTCAAATAGTACACAAAAACCTCCAGATCCGTCATGAATGAATTGATCCTTGTTTATATAAAGCTTGTAGTAAAAATAACAACTAATACGGCAGAAATTTATATAAACAAGGATCAATTCATTCATGACGGATCTGGAGGTTTTTGTGTACTATTTGAATTGTTTGCGAGATGGATGTCTCGCCATTTAAATATTAACCCTTGCATTAGTTTTGTGTGAATAATAATGTATATATATATATATATATATATATATATATATATATATATATATATATATATATATATATAATTCCCGTTATGAAATAAAACATTTTATTATTAATCGTTTCATCTTCAACTCAGTAACTATTCAAGTAATTTTACAAATGCTAATACGTGTCATAAATAGCAAACGAAACAATAAAAATATCAAGAAATAATAAACTGGTAATAAAACTATATATCTGGGCAAATATCTATTAATTTCGTTTTCAGGGCTGTTGATTCCAATCTATATGGGGAATGATCGCGGCACCTCGATGTAGCAAGTTTGTCTGGCTATAACAATTTCGACTGAGTAGTGAGTTCGATCCTCACTGGCTGCCCGATACATTCAGCCTTGTGTCGCATCTAAGCGACGCTTAGAAAATCAACATAGAAGGACTGACTGCAAAAAAGCACCCCTCTCCCCAAATTTATAGACAAAACATAGAAAGGCATGATGGGATTTCTTTTTATCCAATCAAACAGGCCACATCTTGGTCTCAGACGATTCATTTCTGCCTGTTCTTTTTCTCTTGAAGCCAGAATTCTGGGATCGCTTATCTGTATCCCCTTTTGTGAGTTAGCACCATTCTTAGTTTGTGAGATTTCGTTTTATTAATTATATTTTTTTTTATTAATTTTTACCTTATTTTATCTTGCGTATGTTGTCTGCTATTTGCATATATTTGCATAATATTATTTTGCCCAGTTCTTTCCTTTTCTATCACTTTTTTCATTGATTGTAAACTTTGTGATTTCTGTTTGTTGGGAATTTCTGCAAATTACATTTAATCATGGCCGATTACTCTACACGTTACCGAATTGTTTAATGCGTCGGTCAGGTATTATGAGCTCCTAGAATGATATAATTGAATACCTATCGGAAGCTATGTTTCTGACTGTCTTGCTACTTACTATAGAATTTAGAGAGTAGATTAATCTGGATCATTTAGGCAGAATGTCGCAGTAAGAAAAGACATCAATATTAATAATTTTTGTACAATTCGATTAAACTGCTTATATTTTCTGAGCAGGACGCTAAATTGCGAACGCCTCTTTATAAATTTTTTTTTTTTATTATATGACCGAAGGTATGGACAAAAGCGACTCTCCAAGATACAACCTTTCGACTACTTGTAAAATCTGAAATGGCCAAGTACCAGAATGAAGAAGATATAGCATAGTACCGAAAGATCTACAAAGAAAATATTCAATTAAATTCCAATGTGGGCATTTTTAACCTCTTTCTTTCTCCTTATCTCTACCTGAATACTGAAATGTCTATTTTTTTCTGACCCCCACACGCATTTAAAATGTTCGTATTTATATAGGTATATACTACATAAATGTGAAAATCACGTGCCTTCCCAGAATTCCGTAGCGACGAGTGCGAACACACCTACACCATAAACGAAAGAGAAAAAAACGGTATGCAGGCGGATGTGCACTGCTTTTCTTTGTTCGAGAATTCTGTTTTCTAAGTAAAGGCATCAAGGAAGGAAGGAAGGAAGGACGAGAAAATCGATACAGCGACATGAACAGCGATAAATGGATATATTGATTGATTGGGGGATAGACTGATAGATGTATATGTATAAATACATTCACATACTCACACACGTTCAAACACGCATATATATATATATATATATATATATATATATATATATATATATATATATATATATATATATATATATGAGATGTATGCCAGTTTTCGAGAGATTTCGTTCTAAAAACTAGAAACTGAATACAGAGTAGAAAAATAGCAAAATATTTTTAAAACATCTTAAAGCATGAGATAGACAGAGACAAAAATGAGATAGATAGATAGATAGATAGATAGATAGATAGATAGATAGATAAAAAGAAAAAAGACTTAAGATAGATAGATAGATAGATAGATAGATAGATAGATAGATAGATGAAAAGAAAAAGACTTAGGATAGATAGATAGATAGATAGATAGATAGATAGATAGATATAAAAAGAAAAAAAACTTAGGATAGATAGATAGATAGATAGATAGATAGAGAGAGAGAGAGAGAGAGAGAGAGAGAGAGAAACAAAGAAAGAATACATAGATAGGAGACAGGTGTGTGGTTCAAATTGATTAAGAGTAAAGATATCAAATATACAGGATGCGATTGGCAAATTATCGCCATTTTATATTTTTAGTTTCGCGCATGCGTGTTGTTTGTTTTTGATTTTGGCGACTGCACAATGTAGTAGGGTCATTTGGGCACCGTCTGTGAGCAAAGTGTACCATGCCAGATATATGGAAACGGCATGTTGTACTGCTTCGCATTCGCACCAGAAACTCCTATACGAATATTTCAGTGTTTCGATATCTATCTAACGACAATGCAGAGGATTCGGAAGGAGTTAGATGAGTCTAATGGTGATTACGAAGGTGTTTTGAGTGATCACTAGTGATGGCGACCTTATGCCACCATTCATTTTCCCACAGGGCCTTAGACTCAACACGGAGGCCTACATCAAGTGCCTTAAGGAGGTAGTGTTGCCCTGGGTTAAGAGGACGCCTGCCGGAAGACCCTATTTAGGGCAATTGAACTCCACCATTCCATACATGCATGGAACCCAGTCATGGCTGTCAGACAACTTCTGCAGTCACATCACCCCTTAAATATCACCATCCCCAGACTTCAACGACCTTGATTATTATGTGTGGGGCGCGTCTGAACGAGAGAAAAAAAAACCTTAATGTGACATCAATTATGAACTGTAGGCAAGGAATATGGCATCATTGACCATTTTTGTTATGGGATCTTACCAATAATAATAATAATAATAATAATGGATTATTCCATACTTAATAAATACTGCGCCTCAGTCAGAAGGCAAGGAGACAGTCGTTCACCTCCTGACCACCTGTTCAGTTGAACTCTCTACCTTCGGGCGGGGAGGAACCCGAAGGAGTCTACGCCGAAGGGGGGATTCTCTTTCGTGGAGGTAAACCGGCCCTGAAACCGTTTATACGGGTTCAATGGGCATATTTTGGGCCGATCCCATGGGCTCGGGGGTCCTACGTTAAAAAGGCCTTGTGCCACATGATGCCCCAGTCGGGTGTGACTGAATATCGTCAGTCGTTCAAGTCGGTCAGTCAGTCGACTGGCTGATCGGTTGAACTCTCTCCCTTCGGGCGGGGAGGAACCCAAAGGAGGCTACGCTGAAGGGCGGAGTCTCTTTCGGGGAGGTAAACCAACCCTGAACCCGTTTATGGGACTCAGAGATCCCACGTTAAACCGGCCTTGTGCCACATGATGCCCACGTGGGGGCGGTGACTAAATATAGTCAGTAGTTCAAGTCGAGTCAAGAGTCGAGTCAGAGGCAGTCGCGTTCAGACAATTACTACAAGATATTAGAATAGTGATACTGGTCGAGACTACATTGTTCTTTCTACTAAACCTGATTGTTCGTACTAACACTTCTACTTCTCTGTATATATTCCTGTTTGTAATATATCTGCGTTATTCCATACCTGTGTTCGAGTTCTTCTTTATTGGTTCTACCTTGGACTATCACCGTGGTACAAGGAACCGGACCATAACAATTTTAAACAAGGATACTGTCCAGAAGATTTGCAGGAGATTCCGAAGTCATCTGGAGACCATGGTTGTAGCCAATGGCGATTTTACTGAATAAATTTGCTATTTCGTATTTTAATATATTTTTGTGTCATTTTGGTAAATATGTCTGTTAAAACAAGATGTCAGTGATATCTTAATATTTGCGTAATTTAGAAGAAAATTTATCTATCGCACCCTCTCGATTTTCGGGATTGGAGTGTTTCGTCACTTTGCTATATTTTGACGCTACTTAATCTTTCTGACAATGCATTCATTGTTATGTTGAGAGTCACAACTAGCTTTATAATAATTAATAATATTGTCAGAGGAGACGAGATCTTGGAAAACGACATATGAAAGAGAGACAGATTGAGAAGCAGACGGAGAGATACTCTGTTTGCAGTTTAATGTAAGTTGGTGCCTAGCGTTCAAGGACAGATTGAATTTCGAATGCCGATTTTCAAAGAAAGAATACTCAGCGTCGTTTTGAAAATAGTCGGGAAAAAAACTGTCTGGAAAAGCATCAAGAAATAGGAGGTGAATATGTTACAATGCATGTGCAGGAAGTTACACAACAAGTCATAGATTAGATAAAGGTCTAACGAGCTAAATTAAATGAAGAGGCACAGAGAAGAAGGGTTTACGGGAAATTATTGTTCCAGAGAGTAAAGAGAGAAAGAATCAGGAGAGAAAAACAAAGACAAAACGAATTGGAGAAGATACAAGTTGTCTGGAGATTAAGCCATTTCTGAGAGGAAAATGATCGTAACATTTTTATTCCATTTGAAAACAAGCAGACAGTGGAACGATAGACAGCATCCAAAGTAAAATTCTTCGAAAGATAGGAAATAATATAAAGTAGGAAATAGAATTGTTGTATTCGGTCGAGGCAACTAAGGCGGGGATATACTTCACCAGATGAACGTAGAAGAATTACATTATCTATCTATCTATCTATCTATCTATCTATCTATCTATCTATCTATCTATCTATCTATCTGTTTCAGTCTGTTCGTATCTATCTATCTATCTATCTATCTATCTATCTAGCTAGCTAGCTAGCTATCTGTCTGTTTCAGGCTGTCCGTCTCTATCTATCTATCTATCTATCTATCTATCTATCTATCTATCTATCTATCTATCTATCTATCTGTCAGTCTGTCTGTTTCAGACTGTTCGTATATATCTATCTATCTATCTCAGTCTGCTCATTATCTATCTATCTATCTATCTATCTATCTATCTATCTATCTATCTATTGCATACACGCACGCACACACACGCATACAAACGCACACACACACGCATACAAACGCACACACACACACATATATATATATAGAGAGAGAGATGTACATATATATTAACTACATTTAACATGTGCGCATATTTATGTATACATATGTATATATCTATATATATTACATTCATTCCTACATACATATACAGTACTATTCGATTTATCAGCTTCTTATAATCACATATCCTATATACATACATTATTGTTTCAAAACACACTCATATATATATATATATATATATATATATATATATATATATGTGTGTGTGTGTGTGTGTGTGTGTGTGTGTTTATATGTGCGGCATTTACTAGAAAGTGCTCAATATACGTGATAGAGCTAACATATGCGGTTGCATGTGTAAATATTGCCTTTTCTCCATTATTTTTTTCCTTTGTTTGCCTTTCTCTTTTAGTATTGAGCACTTTCTGTTAAGGTGTAATTTATGGATTATATATATATATATATATATATATATATATATATATATATATCCCCGCCATGCGTTAATGTGTTAGGGGTAGAATCTTGACTGATACCAAATCAATCGGGTTTCAATCACGGCTTGAGGCAATCAGATGTCTAGCCCCACTTATGAGCTGCGGAACAGTCTGTCTGTGTATGTCCGTCTGCGTGTTTGCGCTAAATTGCAACGTGCGTGTTTTTCAAATACACGGGCCGAGACGATTAAATTATTTACTTTAATTCACTCTCCATTTTCTTGGCCCGACGCTGTCATTATTTTTCGAATAAATTTGGGTCTTACTGGCATTATCGCCTTGTTTGGCTTTCTAAGATTAAATAGAAGATGAATGAAGAAATGGATATTAATTCATTGCGACGCGTTTCTCCCTGTAAAAGGACTTCCTTGGACTAAATGTCGTTATTGATATATAAGATTGATTATTAATGATATATTGCGTTTTTAAACGTTTTATCCACTTATTTTCATGGAACTCTAAAATCTTTCTAATGTTATCTGCTCTGAACTTTTCTATTCTCTCAATTATAGTGAATTTGGCATGGGTTTTAAAATCCTGTTTTTCTAGGCGGAAATGTTGTTCTACAGGTAATAATCTTTTATGGGGAGTCGACTTAATTCGATTGCGATAATTATTAATTCTGTCGTTAAATGTCATTCAGATTTTCCTCCATATTGTTTCTGGCACAGTGTGCATTCTAGGAGGTAAATTATGTTATGACTTCTACAGTTCGAATCGTGGTAGATTTTGAAAGTAGATTTAGGGACTGAGCTAGTGAATGAATTCGTGTTTAATGTGGTTGCAGGATAAGCTTCTTTTGTTGTTACATGGTTGGGAAAATCCTGTTGTTTTTGTTCTTAGTTTATTACAGATTACCTTGTCCCCTGAAATGTGGTTACTACCTATGATTTCTTTTAGGTTCTTAGGTCTACGATATGCCAGAAGACCAGGTTCCTCAAACAATTTTTTTAACTCTAGTTTGAGATGTAGTATTTCCCAGCGACGTTTGATTAATTGGGTTAGTGGAGGCAGAGAGGGGTTGAAAGTGGTTACTAGAGGAATGCGACTGGGTTTATTTTTAATCTTGTACATTAGGATGTCTTCTTTAGGTGTGGAAATTGCTTTATTTATTTGTTCCCTGATTAGGCGTTGTTTATAGACCCGTGTTATGATACTCCAGATTTTGAGTGTGTTTATTTAATTCTTCATTGTTGGAACATATTCTTCTAAGTGCTTGTGAATAGGGAAGGTTCTCTTTGAGGTGTTTAGGGTGGGAAGATTTAAAGTGTAGATAGTTGTGGGTGTCGGTGATTTTAGTGTGTAGTGTCGTTTGTAGTTTCCTGTTTTCATCTATGTAAATGTGGATGTCTAAAAATGTTACCGATCTTGTGGATTTTTTCATAGCCAAACATAATTGAGTCGTGCACTGTGTTTAGGGTAATGAGAAATTGGATACGTTTGTTGTCACTGCTCGTGTATACAAAGAATATATCATCGATATATCTTGCATATATATATATATATATATATCGCTTTATATTATGCACTGAGGAGAAACCGTAGATATATAGAAACGATAAGTTTTAATTTTAAAATTTTTGGTGTCCGAGTTTTCTTTTCGAGAAAGAAACGGCTTCCATATTTTGTTTCATTTTACCATTCAATTGTCTAACGCTGTTGTTATACAGACATTTATATATCATATTCTCCCA